AGATGGATTGTTTAAGTTTAGAGTTTGGAGTTAGAGATATTAATATTTGTTTACTTGTAGTTGAATGTTAGCCTAGGTTTGGTTTGGGAAGTCCGGGGGGTGGGGGGATGGGATAAATCATTGTGTAATACTTGTGATGTATTTCTTCTTTTATGATAAAAACAATAAAATTCTATATTGAAAAAAAAAAAAAAAGAATTCAAGTATATCAGTGTTGAAAAAACCCCACAGACTGCCTAATGTGGGAAAAATAGAGGTTGCGGATCACAGCTGATTATGCAGGAGATGATCCACCCAGTGAAAGTGACACAAATGTTTGGAGTGCGGCAAAAACTTTACTCAGAGTAGTTCCCTTATGGTTCATGGAAGGACCCATACTGGAGAGAAGCTCTACCAGACAACCCAATGTGACAAAGATTTAGCACGCACACTAATATGGTAAGACACAAGAGGACTCATGCAGGACAGAAACCCTATGAGTGTCGAGATTGTGGGAAAGATTTCTCTTCGAAATCTCCCCTGGTGAACCATCAGAGCACTCACACAGGAGAGATACTATATAAATGTCATTGTGGAAAAAGTTTTAGTAGGAATTACTACCTGGTGAAGCATCAAAGGACTCACACAGGACAGAAACCATATAAATGTCATTGTGGGGAAAGTTTCAGTCAGAGTTCCCACCTGGTGACACACCACAGGGCTCACACAGGAGAGAAACCATATAAATGTCATTGTGGGAAAAGTTTTAGTCAGAATTACTACCTGGTGACACACCAGAGGACTCATACGGGAGAGAAACCCTATGAGTGTCCAGAGTGTGGGAAAAGTTTCAGTCGGAATTCCAACCTGATGACACACCAGAGGACTCACACGGGAGAGAAACCCTATGAGTGTCCAGAGTGTGGGAAAAGTTTCAGTCGGAATTCCAACCTGGTGACACAACAGAGGACTCACACAGGAGAAAAACACTATGAGTGTTCAGATTGTGGGAAACATTTCTCTTCGAAATCTGTCCTGGTGAACCATCAAAGGACTCACATAGGAGAGAAACCATATAAATGTCATTGTGGGAAAAGTTTTAGTCAGAATTCCTACCTGGTGAGACACCAGAGGACTCACATGGGAGAGAAACCCTATGAGTGTCCAGATTGTGGGAAACGTTTCATTCAACATTCCAGCCTGGTGACACACCAGAGGACTCACACGGGAGAGAAACCCTATGAGTGTCCAGATTGTGGGAAACGTTTCATTCAACATTCCAGCCTGGTGACACACCAGAGGACTCACACAGGAGAAAAACACTATGAGTGTTCGGATTGT